GTTCCTTAAGTTCTGGTCCAGCATGATTTCCTAACCTCAGGCTCTAGCGAGCATAATTACTGTAAGAGGATCTTGGGTTTTTTCCTCAGTGTGTTTTGGTGTACACAGCACTTACCTCTAAATTGGAATATACAACATTCTGTCTAACACACACGGAGTAGCTAAGCTCATTACCGTTTGTTACATACAATGATTTGGAGGTGAAAGTCTCATCTTTCCGGAGTAAAAACTACAATGATAAGCACATTAAAAGGTTTACTTTTTTTTTTTTTAAATGTTTTATTTATTTCTGAAAGAGAGAGAGAGAGAGAGAGAGAGACAGCGTGAGCAGGGGAGGGTCAGAGAGAGAGGGAGACACAGAATCTGAAACAGGCTCCAGGCTCTGAGCTGGCAGTCAGCACAGAGCCCGACGCGGGGCTCGAACCCACGAACCGCGAGATCATGACCTGAGCCGAAGTTGGTCGCTTAACCGACTGAGCCACCCAGGTGCCCCTAAAAGGTTTACATTTTTAATTAAAATTTAAGTGTTGCCTGGTTAAGTCTATACACTCCTTCATGTGCATTAAGAGTGCTCTGGTGGAAAACCCTTGCCAGCTGTCATTGGGGTGGAGGAGATTTGCTGAGGGTGGTAAGGACTTGCATTTTTATGCCTCTCCCTCTCCTTGTAAATAAGCTGGTTTAAAGAGAATATTCCTAGATTGGGAAATATCTCATCTGGGATTGAGGCAGAACCTTCTGGAGGATGATGAGACACCCACCCTCATGTCCTCCTCCAGTGTTCCCAGGACCACACTCCCAGGCATCCCTCCTCCCTATCTTTGCCATCCCTTCTTCCTATAATCTTATTTCTGTTCAGCTATAATCTCTTTCTTCTACCACTGGAGGAGATCCCAAGAGGTCTTGAGATGGACTGACCATATGTATGGGTAGACACACTACCATATGTGTTTGGTAGTGTTGTATGAATTGTCCCCTAAGGAATCTGGTATTCCTTATGTCAAAAGGTATTCTAGCCCAAACAGGTTCTGTGTTCCAATAAGTTTGGGAAGCAAAGGGTTAAACAAAATTGCTGCAGGGCTTTTCAGAACCTTTAGTTCATAGGCACCAGTAAATCTGGTGGGTGTGGTGTGTTGCATTTTTCTCAAGCACACCTAACCATTAGATACCACAGATTTTAGGAAGAGCACAACTTTATAGGTGAATTGTAGACGTTTGAAGTCCTGTTTCTGGCAGATTGTTTTTTTTTTTTTTAAATGTTTATTTATTTGAGAGAGAGAGAAAAAGACAGAGTGAGAGTTCTGTGAGGGAGACACAGAATCCAAAGCAGGCTCCAGGCCTTGAGCTGTCAGCCCAGAGCCTGATGCAGGGCTTGAATCCATGAATGGTGAGATCATGACATGAGCTGAAGTCAGACGCTGAACTGATTGAGCCACCCAGGGGTCCCCAGATTGGTTTTTTGAATCCAAACCTTGCTTCGAGGCAGAAGAAGATAAAGGAGGAGGAGGGAAATAGGTTAAGTGTGTGCTTTGGGGGCGGAGAAGGGGGTGGGTGGAGGAAGGTAAAGAGAGTGATGGCACTTACAAACCACGCTGTGCTCTTATGAGCACCCTCGCTGACGTGAATGAAGAGCTGAGAGGGGTGCCCAGGTGTCTCAGTAGGTTACATGTCTGACTCCTGATCTCGGCTCAGGTCATGATCTTACAGTTCATGGGATTGAGCCCTGCGTGGGTCTCTGTGCTGACAGCACGGAGCCTGCTTGGGATTCTCTCTCTGCCCCTACCCCACTCATGCTCTCTCTCTCCCAAAGTAAATAAATAAATGTAAAGGAAAAAGAGCTGTGAGCTGAAGTATGAACTTTGATGATGATTGCTACTGCAGCTGATGCAAACATGAAGGAGTTGGCATCTTGAATGTGAAAATGCTGCATTTTGCTGGCTCTATGCAAATACTGAGCACTCTGGATGTTACTGGAATAGATCTGTTTTCAAATAACTTCATGTTGACATAATGATGCACCAATGAAAGAAATAGAAAATAATTTTATAAAAGAGAAAAAGATTAATAGTAGAGAATAAAAGCTTTTACTGGAAGTGATAGAAATGATAAACAAGGGAGACGAGGTCTGGCTCTGTTTTAGATGTGAGAGTAGACCGTGTATTTCAGGACGAGTCTGGGCATGCCTTGGTTAACGTCACCATGTCTGATAGACTGGGAGGAGCTAGAACTTGGATTTAGAAACTGTCATTTGCAGTAAGGTAGTCACTGAAAGGGCAGATTGAGCTGCCGGGTGTGACACCAGATACCTGCGATTCCGTTCTGCCCATGAAACCATTTATGTGGCTGTCTTTGGGGCATCACATAGAATTCAGGAATGAGCCAGTCCCTGGAATACGATCTTCCAGAAGAAAAGCAGGGCTGTTATTTTGGAGGAACTGCTATCCTCAGTGCACCATTGATATAGGTAGGGCTCAGGTAGGATGGGCGAGGTAAGTCTTGGCATTGGGGGGTCAGATCTGAGACAGAGGGGCAGGGGCAGCCTGGAAACACACCACAGGGTTGGTCCAGAGCTATTGACAAGGCCCTGTTTCAGGTCCTAGAGATGAGGATGAGGCCTAATTCTAACCATTTTGGGAGATAAAGGAGGAAGGTCAAGTCGTTCCAACCATGGGGAGGGAAGGAAAGTGGGGATTGGGAATCTGGGACTGGAAAGCTAGACACTGTAATACAAGTTGGGGCACTTGGGGTCTTTATTTAGCCTTTACTTTTGGAAAGGTACAGCGATACCACTGCTTCCGTCCAAGCCCAGATGAATGCAGTGAACTCTTCTTTGAAACACCTCCCTGGTGTTCTCGGGGAGTTTTGGGGGAGGTGAAGGTGGGCCATATTCCCAAAGTGCCACTGACATTCTGAATTGCATGGTAGTTTAGTTGGACTTGTCTTTTGTCCCAGTGGTCATTGGCTCCTTATGAGTGTGGGTCATGAATTCAGAAACAACACACAGGACTGTCATTTACTAAACTCCTCCAGCATGCTAAATGCTTTAGAAGACCCAACCTGCAAAAACCAGGAAGTAGGTGTCATCATCTCCACGTTACAGACGACATGGCTGAGGTCCTAGAAGCTCAGATAGCTGTTCAAGTCCTCAGAGCTGGTGTGTGGAGGGCCAGGATTCAGAACCAGAATTCCCTGACCCCAAACCCAATGTGCTTTCACCCATACCAATAGCTCTCGATCTGAGAAGTTTCAAACAATTCTGAGGCATAAATCCCCATCCTCGAATATTTGGATTCGTTTCATCTGGGCTAGCATTTGGACATCTGTGTTTTTTGTTTGTTTGTTTGTTCTGCTGCTACATATGCATTTTTTTTAAATGAATTCAAAATATAATTAAAAAGTACATATTGGGGAACATCCATTCTCTTTTCCATAAAAATTGCTGTATCAATTTACATTTCTACCAAGAATGTAATGGATTTTTAAATTTTGTTTTAATTCCAGTGGAGTTATCATACACCGTTGTATTACTTTCAGGTGTATAATATAGTGATTCAACACTTACGTTATAGTGATTCAACTATATGTTACCTTGTGTTCATCACCACCACCAGTGCACTTCTTAGTTCCCATCACTATTTAACCCATCCTCCTACCCACCTCCCCTCTGGGAACATCAGTTTGTTCTCTATAGTTAATTATCTATTTCTTGGCTTCTCTCCCTCTCTCTCTTGTCCTTTGCTCATTTGTTTTGTTTCTTATGTTCCACATATGAGTGAAATCATAGTATTTACCTTTTCTTGACTGAGCTATTTCACTTAGCATTATACTCTCTAGCTCCATTCATGTCATTGCAAATGATTTTTTTTATGGATGAGTAATATTGTATATCATATAGCACCTTTTCATTATCCATTTATCTATCAGTGGATACTTGGGCTGCTTCTATAATTTGACTATGGTAAATAATGCTGCAGTAAACATAAGGGTACATTTATCCCTTTCAATTAGTATTTTTTTATTTTGGGGATAAATATGCAGTAGTGCAATTTCTGGATCATAGGATCGTTCTATTTTTAGCTTTTTGAGGAAACTTCATGCTGTTTTCCAAAGTGACTGCACCAGTTTGCATTCCCATCAACAGTGTAAAAGGGTTCCTTTTTCTCTACATTCTCACCAACACTTACTGTTTCTTATGTTTTTTATTTTAGCCATTCTGATGGGTGTGAGGTGAAATCTCATTGTAGTTTTGATTTGCATTTCCCTCATAATGAATGATGTTGTATATCTTTTCGTGTGTCGACCATCTGTATGTCTTCCTTGGAGAAATGTCCATCCATCTCTTTTGCCCACGTTTAAATTGGATTCTTTGATTTTTGGGTGTAGAATTATATAAGTTCTTTATATATTTTGTATACTAACCCTTTATCAGATATGTAATTCGCAAATATCTTCTCCCATTCTGTAGGTTGCTGTTTAGTTTTGTTGATTATTTCCATTGCTGTGCAGAAGCTTTTAATTTTGATGATGTAGTCCCAATAGTTTATTTTTGCATTTATATCCCTTGCTCAGGAGACATACCTAGAAAAATGTTGCTGTGGCCAATAACAGAGGTATTACTGTCTGTGCTCTCTTCTAGAATTTGTATAATTTCAGTCCTCACATTTAGGTCTCTTGGACATCTGTGTTTTTTAACTCCACTAGGTGCTATTAATGTGCAGCCAGCGCTAAGAATCCTAGCTCTCTGTCATGTCGTATTGTCTTTATTGCCATCCCTGGCTTCTAGTAGAGCACTCATCTATGTTGGGGTTAAAGCCGTGTTTATTGATTAGTTCAGATGGTGTTTGTGACCAAAGGGAAGAGCAGGGGATTGAATGCTGCTAAAAGTTATAAAGTATTCTCTTAGAGGCTGAAGTTGAACACTGGAGTTTACCAGATGTAATTAAAGATCAGAGGGCTACTATTCACGGCATGCTTAGAGATGTTTTCCAAATCTTCTATTGCAGGTGGCGTTGTCCTCAACCCAGCCTATTATGGCATGCCCGGCCATACCAACATCATGATCCACGAGGTGGGACATGTCCTCGGACTCTACCATGTCTTCAAAGGGGTCAGTGAGAGGGAATCCTGTGATGACCCCTGTAGGGAAACAGTGCCATCCATGGATACGGGAGACCTCTGTGCTGACACTGCCCCTACTCCCAAGAGTAAGCTGTGCCAGGAACCAGAGCCTATCAATGACACCTGTGGCTTCACCCACTTCCCGGGGGCTCCATTCAGCAACTACATGAGCTATACAGGTATCATGACAGTTTCAATGTGTATATTTGTTATTTAGATTACATGGGGGCCTTTTGTGGCCAGGATGGAGAGGCCCATGAGGCAGTCACTCATGCCAGAGGGCTGAAGTGTATTTATCATGTCATATTCTTTTTAATGTGTCTTTGAAGAACTTAAAGAAATATGGAGATGAGATGGGTTCTAATGGGCTGGATTCTCCTCTGCTAGAGGTCAAAAGAAAAACACACCTTTATCGTGGAGAGTTTAAAAAGGAGGCAAAATCCAAAGCTCTCTTGAGGTTTCTTTGACCTCTAGAACGTGGTTGTTCTTGGTCTTGCCCACGTTCTTAGGCATCCACTCTGAAGGAGACTCTAACAGTGATGGGGAAAGAGGTTTCTGGGTCAGGTGGCTCTGTGCTGTTTTTGAAGTTAGTCAAGAAGATGGACTTGGTTAATTTTAAGCTGAAGCTTAGAATTCCTTTTCATTTTGTTCTTTTTTAAAGTATCTGATTTGCTTCTTCCAACATGAGCCAAGGGCTGATTCTTAGCTTGCCTACCAAAAAAATAAAGATGCTGTCTCGTTAAAAAATGGTACTACTTTCCTGGCCCTGGGAACAACCCTAATATCTGGTCTTGTTATCCTGGATCATGTCTCTTCCTTGTCTTGTTTCATTTTCCTCATTTCTGGCAAAAAGTAGTACGATATTATCATAGTCTCTTAATGACGGACTCAAATATATCTCTAAAAGTATGGACTGATATGATTTGATGACTTATTCTAGGGAGAAGGAATGGGATGATTTTTCTGTAAGGTGAAGGGGCTAAATTCTAGGACTATCCACCCCCCTCCAAAAGAAAAAAAAGAGATAAACCACAAGGACTTGGTCATGCCTTTGAAGGGAAGAAGGGAAGAAAAGAGTGGTGACCTGGTCAACTATATATTTCCATCCAAGTCTTATTTTGGGATGTAGTTAAGGTGCACTGAATGCATAACGACCAGCAGCCCTACCTCCCCCAACGAGGACACAGTGGCCCTTGCCACAGGAGACCAGACAGTGGGGGTGCAGAGGGCAGAGCTGTTTATCACCACCTTGACGTGGGCTGAGAAAACATCTCAGAGACAGGGGGGAGCGGTGTTTGACTGCTGTGCCTTCATTAAAAAAAGCTTTGAGGTGCGCCTGGGTGGCTCAGTCAGCTGAGCCCCCGACTTCAGCTCCAGTCATGATCTTGCAGTTCGTGAGTTTGAGCCTCAGGCTGTCAGCACAGAACCTGCTTCAGAGCCTCTGTACCCTTCACTCTGACCATCCCCTGCTTGCACTCTCCCAAAAAAAAAGTAAATATTTTTTAAAAATGCTCTGAAACTAAAATAACTCCTTTCCAGCCCTATGAAAACCATGTTAACAGGGAGATGTTGCAGGCTCCAAGAAGAAGGTAGGGACCACGGTCCCCAGTCCTGCTGCATCCTTGACATTTTGGCACTCTCTTCCCTTGAGCCTCTCCACTGGATCCTCCCTCACCTTGGCAGAGCCACTGGGCACAAAGCAGGTGTCCGCAGCTCAGGCGAGGTTCATGAGTAACAAGGCCATATGCTGAAACACTGCCATCTTGTGGTTTCCTGAATAAGTAACGGTCTGCTCAGAACAATCTTGTACCCCTGGCTTGAGTCTGACCCTGGCTCAGCCTAATAGCAAGGTGCTGAGGGATAGGCAGCGCTCTTCTCTGCCTTCTCCTTTCCACTTGTGGCTTACATACTCTCTGGAACAGCGTACATTTGTTCATCTGACAAGTCTCTGTGGAACCCAGTAAGTGTGAGGCTTTGTGTTACGTGACTCAGGGTGTGAGCAAGGCAGAATTTGCCCCTGCCTTGGTGGTCTTTGGAGGTTAAAACTTTTTCACTCTCCTCTTCCTTTGTTTTGTTTTGTTTTGGTCTGCACAGACGATGACTGTACCGACAGCTTCACCCCTAACCAGGTGGCCCGGATGCATTGCTATTTGGACCTCGTGTATCAGCAGTGGAGTCAAAGCCAGAAGCCCACGCCCATTCCCATCCCACCCATGGTCGTCGGGCAGACCCGCACGTCCCTTACCATCCACTGGCTTCCTCCAATTAGTGGGGTTGTGCATGACAGGTGAGAGAGGCGCTTGCCATGGGCTGCTCTGTGGTCTCTGTGACATTTCTTATGTGCAGGGGGAAGGGTGTAATGTGAGGGGAGACCTGGGGTGGGTCTGTAAACATGCGTACCACTGCTTGGGGCACCCCTCCGTCTCCTCAGGAGAGCTCGGGGCTGTCACATAAGCCCATGGCTCCTCACGCGTGCTCACTCCTTGGCGAGGGGCCTGTCACGTGTCCCCTTCAGAGTGTCATACCCGACAGGCTCCCAGAGCCGTGAAGAGGTTGACAAATGGGACAAAGAGGAGCTGACAGAGCTGAGGTGGAGTTTGCTACCTGTCCCGGTCAGCCATTCCTCCCTGGTGGGAGGGTGGAGCGAGCTTTGCTGCCTGCACAGTGGTATTTGGGGGAAGGAAGTGTGCTCTGTTCAGACAGCCCTGGGGGGGGGGGCAGGTTATCCACTGCCATCAGCTGTGTAAGGGACTTACCCAGCTTCTGTGGTGTTTCTAATACCTTCTCTGCTTCCTGGTGTACCTGGTGCCACTTATGGCTGCTGTCTTACGGAGCTGTCGTTACCTGTGTGCTCTCCCGTTTGCCCCATTTCACTGCAACTCCCTGGGGGCAGGACTGTTTTTTGTGTCTTTGTCCCTTGGCCTGTACAACAGACATCTGATACATGTGTTTTTGAAAAAAATCATTATATCTGAAAGTAGTTATTTATCCTCTGCATACCTGTCTAAATGAATACCGGGGAAGGTGTAAAAAAAGGCGAAAAGGTAGGAAAAGGATCACTTGTGACCGCTGGTGGGAGGCAGGGGCAATGTGGTTTCTCTGGAAGGGGCCAGAACTCCATCCTTGGCCTGTGTGGGCTCTCCACTTCCAAGCTCTGCCACCATCTTTTAAATACCTGCAGGGGCTCTGGTCTCTGTGGTCCGTCTTTGTGTGAAGCCTCGCACTAGGTATTGTACCTGCAGTCGTCTTCCTCAGTCCTTGCAGCGAGCACGACTCCGGCCACATGAGTGAGAGACCTTGGGCCCAGAGACGCACCTGGTGGCCCACCCCATACCCCACAACCGAGCGGAGGTGGTGAAATGTGGCCTCTGCCCAAACTGCAGATGGGAAACCTGGAAGAGATGATTTCTATGAATCAAGAGCTTTCCAGTTTAGCAGGTAGATGATAGCCCCTCTTCTACTCAGAGCTTCCCCACTGGGCGTCCGGCCCCAGCTATGGATCTTGACATCCCTGGAGCGTGTTTCCATACACTCCATCCTTGCTGAAAGCCTGGGAGAAAAGGCAGGAGAGACAGGGATGAGAGGGAGCAGGTGAGTCAGTTTTTCCCAGTGGCCTTCCCAGCCTTCTGGATCTTGGGACCTGTCCTCAGGACCTTGATGCACGCTCAGGGTGTGGTGTCAGCACCCGGGCTTTCATGGGCCCCATCTGTGAGTCAACAAATGTGGTGTGTTTGAGAACACCCTTCCTGCAAGTGTGACCCTGTGCAGCTTTGGTCGGACTGGCTGAACCATAAGTCCTCTGTGGCCATGTGCGGACTGGAGTTCTATATCAGTTTATGGAACACATGTAAACAATTTAATCTCTCCATTCTCCCTCTGGTACAAACGTTGCGATAGAGCAGACATCAGTACTGGCATGCTGCGAGCCTGTTGGCAGAAAAGGCTATAATTTGCTTCCTTCTCTCAGCTAGGTGGGCCACAGCGTGGAGGCCTCCCAACACGCGTGTCGGGGAGACTCACGTCACACACCCAGCCATTTGTGTCACGCTCGGAGTTGTGTTTACTCCTCCCCAGTAGGTATTTGGAATTCTTAGGTCAGAGAGGAGCCCAACCACGCACTCGGCAGCGGCCCTGGGGAGGCCAAGTACATCAAGGAAATGTGGTTTGGAGTTGTGTCCACACTAGAAGTGGGAGCCGACCGGAGTCAGAGGTTGGAGTTAACTGCACCTTTTCATTGCCAAAGTCCTGGACACTTGCTGGTTTGGGGGAACTTGCTGAAAGGAATTAAGGAACTTGCTGTGACCTTAGGCAGTTGACTTAATCTCTCTGAGCCTGAGTGTCCTCATTTGTAAACACGGAGTTCTTGTAGGGATTAGAAATGATTTATGAAAAGCGCCTGGTGGCACAATGCCAGGTATATAAGGTGCTTAAAAATGGGAGCTGGGAAAAAAAAGGGGAGCCAATCACATAATTATTACCTCTATTTAACAGTTACATTAATTTTCTTGTCTATTACATGATATTCGTTTTCTTTCTCTACCTGGGAGGGACCTTGATTTAATGCTTCCATTTTCAGATTAACAATTTGGGCTTCTAAAAAGATTTTAAGTGTCAGAGATGGGCCTCATCAAGTGCCCTTCCCTTGTCCTTTGGCTATTGAAGAGCTCCTCGTAAAGCCCACTAATAGTCTCAGCGATGCTCATAAAACAAGCTCTTACGGACAGACTGCTGAGGCCAGGCCCTATGCTAACTGCTGGGCATAGAGGGAATGGAGTTTGGTGTGAGCCTGCTCATAGGCAAAGGAGAGAATGGGAACGTCCTGTCCTGAGACAGGAGCCAGAAGTTGCAGCGGGTGCGTAGTTCATCGTGCTGGGAACATAGGTTCATAAAGGAACGAAAGTAAGTAAGGCTGGAGTTAGCTTGTGAAGAACGTTGGATCATGGTAAGACATTTGGAGGTATTCACATAGGCGATGGAGAGCCAAGGGGCATCGCATTTCATGTGACTTTTATTTTATATGTAAAGTAGGGAGTTTGAAACATAGAGCCACATATATTTAATGAGTTTACTCTGAAAATTGCTGTCTGCTTTAGTTGGGGGGAAGGTAAGAGATCTTGGATGACTTATTGAAAGTTAACCTAGTTAGGAGTCTTATGCTGTAAGATTCAGATCTTAATTATTTGAGGTTGAACGTTCCTAGGACAGAAGCTGTCCACTTTCATCTCCACAGGCCTCCATTATGACTTAGTTAAATTCTTCTGCTTCATAACCTTGAGAATTTCATGTCACTATGAATTTTTAAAAGATGAGGTCTACCCCAGAAGGAAATGAGTTGAGAAATAGTTGTGTTCCCAGTTACCCCCTGGGGCCTCAGTACCCATTGCCTTGTGCGCACCCCCCACCCCCGCACTCCCAGAGGCCTTCCAAATTTCGAATGCTGTGATCCCAGTTCACCTGATTACTTCTCCTTGTCTCCCCTCCCCCTTCATCTTCCCAGGGTCCCAGGCAGCGTGTGTGGTGCCTGCACTGAAGACGGGACATTCCGTCAGTATGTGCACACAGCTTCCTCCCGGCGTGTGTGTGACTCCTCAGGTTACTGGACTCCAGAGGAGGCTGTGGGTAAAGGACCATAGCTTTTTTGTTTATACTTGGTGGCTGATGAGAATGGGGGCGGGGGGAGAGGATGGAGCGGTGGCATGGTGAGAAGAAGATTGTGTGTGTGTGTGTGTGTGTGTGTGTGTGTGTGTGTGTGTGTGGTTTGCTAGATATCTCCAGGGACCTGGGAAAGACTGCATGGTACTTTCGTGTATCCCACGTATGCTTCACATGGAGGCCCAGTGGCTGTGATGGAGCAGAGGTCAGTATAGAGGACAGAGGGATGGAGAAGACGGCTGGCCTCAGGGGGTGACATCAGAATGAGAGCTCAGGCGTTCAGTGTTATGCACACCTACGAGCCCGCTAGCTGCCCTGCCACATACCAGTGTAAGCTGATCTCTATCAGGAGAGTAATAGAGAACACAGTGCAGGGAACACCGATGTTCGGCCCAAGCTGGTCTGGGTCGGGGTGGGAGTGGGGTGGACTAGGTGTTCCAAACTGATCGTTCTCATCTATGCTATTTTATGAGTCTATTAATCACTGGGTACTGGTTGTGCTTTGGATGTGATGTAGCCTCCTAGGCTCTAGAAGGGGGAAAATGCTTTTAGCTGCCCTTTTTCCTGTCCCTCACCATACTTCTCAGTTAATACTCACTCACATACTTATAGCAAGGCCTCTCCTCTAGGACAGATTCAAGCATGAATGTTATCCTAGTTTAAGTCCAGAAAACACTATTGAGAGGAGTTTTAGCACCTTCTGTTGAATGGCTTGACTCTCTCCCTCTCCATCATCTTTAGTGTTTATCTAGTTATCATCTTTTTCTTTTTCTTGTATTTATTAAGATCCTAAAAACTACTTAGTAAGATGAATTGGACACAGTCCTGTTTAAGTTAGTTTGCAGTCTTGATTCTGACCAAAAATAAAAGTGGTTTTAGAGTCAACAGTGTCTGTAAAATGTCCCTTTGAACTCCCAGTTGCTCAAATGACAGGAGCCTCAAGGAGAAATTGGGAGGCAGAAAATGTACTTGATTTTGATTGGACGTATAGAACTTTTTTCAGATGTGAGTTTTCAAGGAAGAATGGAAAGTGACAATGAAATTCACATTGGCACTGTGTTGGACTCATGTGGAGACTGGCATTTCATAAAAGGCCTTTTCTGTGGCAAACAGATTGTCCTGTACTGGTGTTTTAATGCCCATTCAACTCCCTGGCCCTGAATTGTTCTCCTTTTAATTCTTGGCAAAATTTAAATTTATGTGATAGAGGTGAAAGGAATTAGAAAGTCCAGGTTCTAATTCTTGTATTGTGTCTTGAGGCCACTCAAGTCAACTTTCAAGGCCTCCACTTCATCTTTTAACGTGAGATCATGATGAAAATTTTCCAAGGCAGTGGTGCTGTTGTGTTGGCTTCCAAGGGGTTTTCCTCAGCTAATATTTTGGGGCCGGTTATTGGAAAATACCGCTAAGAAATACCATCTTCCTTTGCTTTGAAAAGATGGAGAATCAAGTTGTCCTTAAAATATACACAGTGAAAGTGATTGACTCCCAAACAGACTGTACACAAACACATATATTGACAGATGGGATCCCAATATCCTTAATGATACTTAATGAACACTCATTGACTACCAACTACTTTCTAAAATGCAATGAGGAAGAGAAAATGGAACCACATTCCTTGCTTACCATATCATCTTTCTGGAAAGAACTCCTGGCTCTGTAATCTAAATTAGACCCCACCCCCATGCCATCATTGTCTAGCCTTTTATCCTTCTTCATTTTTCCTCAAAGACACTATTACCACTTTGTCTAGTTAGTATTGTGCCTGTCACCCTATTGTAAGAATCATGACATTTATCTTTGTTGCTTACTCTCTCTCCAATGCCCGGATCAGTGCTAGGTGGGAAGGAGGTACACAGTCAATTTTTGTTGAATGAGTGAGTAAGTGAATGAATGGATCTACAGTACAGGCCAAAGATAACAAAGACTGTGAGATGTAACACAGACATACATACAAACACATCTATTTGAACTTGTTTCCTATGGGTTTTGGAGCATTCTTTATTTTCCAAGTTCTGAAGGGCTAAATAGTTCTCTTTTTGCAAATGTAATTTGCAAATGTTTCTATGGAACTCTGTACAGATCTTTCACACTCACCTAGTAAGCCAGGGGTTAAATAGCACTTATTCCATCAGTGAGGAAATTTGAGGATTATAAAGACTTACTATGGTCACACAGCTAATGGCACATCACCAGTTAGATTGTGACTCTGCTGATTCTAATTTAGCACTTTTTTCTTAAATTCCCCTCATGTGATATGAAAAAAACCATTTGTGTAATTTTCACAGAACCGACCTTAATATATTTGCAATATTTGATTTTTTTACCATCCCTTTTTTGCTTAGCTACTGAATCTCTATTTTTCCCCCCCAACTCGAGAATCCATGTTTCTCTTTTCCACCTGCAGTTTCCTGCATGCAGTGTCCTAACTGCTCTTACCTGAACTAAAAGGGAAATCTCAACATATGGTTTTAAAATTTGGCTGACCATCATCTGGAAGGACTGCTAAGTTGTGATCTTGGGGAATGAAAAAAGTTTTGTGGAGAGCCTCGTTAAACAAAATGTAGTGGCAGACTGAAACAAACATGGGCCTTATTAAGAAATAAAACAGGGTTTCAGAAGCACTGATTTATCATAAAGTATTAATAAACTAAGTACAAATAATTCTCCTCTGATCAAGGACCCTTTAAGGACATGACTTACCTTCTTGGCATTAGCTTCATGTTTCCACCTAGGATCTGGGCCGCTCCATTCCAGATGCCTTGCTGGACCACTCTTGTTAGAGGCCCTTGGAGAGGGGATATGGAGCAAGACACAATCCTTTTAAATTGTTACACATTTGTCCTCAGTAGGACTTAATATTTTTTTATTGTTTTATTTATTTCTGAAAGAGAGAGAGAGAGACAGAGTGAGCAGGGGAGGGTCAGAGAGAGAGGGAGACAGAATGTGAAGCAGGCTCCAGGCTCTAAGCTAGCTGTCAGCACAGAGCCCGATGCGGGGCTCGAACCCATGAACTGTGAGATCATGACCTGAGCCGAAGTCAGTCTCTTAACCGACTCAGCCACCCAGGTGCCCCTGTCCTCAGTAGTAACCCCCTACCTTGACCAATTTCTGTAGGGATTGGCCCAATGCTCTCTTCTTTCTTCTTTCTTGTTGCTCATATGAGCCACTCATTTTTAGACTTCATGGCCATTCCTGATGCATCTGTCTTTCTGTTCACCTCCCTCAGGGCCTCCAGACGTGGACCAGCCCTGTGAGCCGAGCTTGCAGGCCTGGAGTCCCGAGCTCCACCTGTATCATATGAACATGACGGTCCCCTGCCCTTCGGAAGGCTGTAGCCTGGAGCTGCTCTTCCAGCACGCGGTCCAAGCTGACACCCTGACCCTGTGGGTCACCTACCTCTCCATGGACTCCTCCCAGGCACTCTTTGACACGGAGATCTTGCTGGAACACCAGGAGTCTGTGCACCTGGGCCCCTTAGATGCTTTCTGTGACACCCCACTCACTATCAAACTGCATGTGGATGGGAAGGTCTCAGGGGTGAAGGTCTACACCTTTGATGAACGGATGGAGATTGACGCAGCTCTGCTAACTTCCCAGCCCCATAGTCCCCTGTGCTCTGGCTGCAGGCCTGTGAGGTACCAGGTTCTTCGTGAGCCCCCATTTGCCAATGGCTTGCCCATGGTGGTGACAAATCCTCACAGGAAGTTCACGGACGTGTGAGTTGAGCAGCAGGGCTTTCTAAACCATGGGGCTTCCTGGGGCTTTGGGAGTGGGTCTCGCTTCCCCCTTTCCCACTTTTCCCCATTACAACATGCCCTTAGCTGGAGAAATGTTCAGAATCTCAGAGGGTGTTTTGTCCTAAAGTGGAGTATCTGAGCTAAAGAAAAGCATTTCCCAGCAAGGGGTGAGCAAGTATTCTGACTAATATTGTCATCGTTAGGATCACAGGGAAAAAAAAGCGGTTCTTCTCTGAGGTGCTTCTGCCCGACTGCAAGTATTTGCCACAAATAAGTTGATCGGAGTTGACTTCTATCTAGTGACGCAGTTTAATTTCTGATTCCTCACTGTAACTTTTGGACAGTCTGCTGCGGCTCCTCTAACATGTGAAGACTGTAGTTAACTCTTCTGTAGCTAAGCCAGGAAGCCAAGGGTCCTGCAGAAGCTCCTTCGTTTCAAGACCCATTCCTGATGTGTGTTTCATGGTTCCCTCTTTTTCTCCTCCCTTTCCCTCTCTCTCTTTCTCTTCCAACTCCCCTCTCTCTCTTTCTTCGGTTTCTTCTACACTTAATGAGTTCTGCTGTGTTCCTGGCACTGTGAGCTCAGTGCTGGAAGCACAGACTAAATAAGGTAAGGTCATTGGCGCAACAGAGTTCAAGGTGTAAGGTGGTATATTAGTGTCTCCAAAGGCAAATAATCCCCACCTCATACGTTTCCGCAGAGACTGCTCTGAGGGCTGAACTTGGGGTAAAACAAAAGTAGTATCAGAGGTGCTAGATGAGTTTGTGTTTGCTGCATTGAAAATCATTGCAAAATGAAGTGGGCTAAACTAACAAGCACTATTTTTCTTTTTAAGTTTTATTTATTTTGATTGATGGCGCACGTGCACGAGTGGGGGAGGGGAAGAGAGAGGAGGGAGAGGGGATCCCAAGCAGGCTCCACACTGTCAGTCTAAGGCCCGATGCAGGGCTGGATCCCGCTAACTGTGAGATCATGACCTGAGCTGAAATCAAGAGTCAGACGCTTAACCAACTGAGCCACCTAGGCACCCCACAAACGCTGTTTTTCATGATTCTTCAGGTTGGCTGGATGCTCTCACCTGGCCTGGCCTGGCCAGCAGGGACAGTACAGGGTGAGCTTCTGTACCTGTTGGCTCCGCGGAGACAGCTGGCATGTCTGAGAGGATGGTTCTTCTTTGCACAGGACCTCTCATTCCTGGCAGGCTGTGTGTGGGCTTGTTCTCACGGTGGGGGGAGGGCACTGGCAGCGGGGGGTGGGGGGCAAGCCCCACATGCTGGTACGTTACTCCTGCTAACATTCCGCCAGCCACCACAAGTCACATGGCCAATGCCAGATCCAAAGGGGTGGCAAAATGAACTCCCTGTATTGATGGAAAGAATAGGAACGTCACATTGCAGAGGAGCGTGAGCATGGGACGGAGGGAACTGAGGCCATTTTGCAGCCTGCCACAGCTACACGAAAGTAGACAACGATGTTCACCTTGAGCTTTACTCCAGTTTCCTTCTCATAGTTGCTCTCTGAGGTAGAACTGGAAGACATGAAATAGGCACAAAGCTCATGAAAATGAGAGGGGAGCTCAGGGAACACATGTAAAAGGAAAAATCAGTTTCCAAGCTTCTCTAAGAAGGCAGTTAAAATGACCTTTGGCATCTAATACAGTATCCACACACGTGCTCACGCGCACACACACATATACACACACAACCTTTAAGTCAGTCATATCCCATTTTATGGATGCGAAAACTAAGACTTCACTTTAATCTGGCTGAACGGGCCCAGCTGCGACAGACTCAGGATTAAGATCCGGTTTTATGACTGAGGCTTGTTTTGGTTCCCTTGCCTTTGTGACACACTGCCTTTTATAAACTCAGGTCATCAAAGGTTTGGGCTACCTGCTGCTGGGTTTCTCCACAAGCAGTGTAAACACATTTTGAGACTACCGTCTGACCGTTTCCCAGCTGCGGGGCAGTGTGAGACCTTTATGCGTGGCTGGATGCGAAGTCCGACAGAAACCACCCTGAAGAGGGAAACCATCAGAATTGATTAGAATAAAAAATTGCTTTTGCTTTTGAAATATCTGGCACTCTTGTGAGAAGATTGTTTCCCTGAAAGAAAGCTGATGTGGAGATTGGAAAGTCTTTAATATTTAGGAGTCTTTTCTATTCAAATAATTAAAAGCCACTAGGGAAGTTTTTAAAGATGTTTTTGAGACCCCACAGTATTTCCTGTTGGCCGGTCACAGCATCAGGGGAGAGAGTGGCTGAGGCGAAGAATCTGTTAAAGAAGGAGGGTGTTGGCAGGAGATTTGTGGCGGCCATTCATGGCAGTCCCCATAACCCTTTGTGATTCTGTCCCCCTAAGTTTCTCCCATTCTAGCTTGACTTTGGTGGGAGTTTTCCAGTTAGGGCAGGCACTGTACAAAATTAAGAGAAGGGCAGAATTTGTTTTTGGAAACAGCAGCCCTCTCTTGAGTCCTTTACCCTCACTTGAATGTTCAATCTCTCATGCCTGTGACTGATCAGTGCACTTGGGTTCTAGAGAGAGTCTGATAAACTCCTTCCATCTCTGATGTCAACCAATTAAATTCCATTCCTGATGTGTACATATTTGGGCAGGTCTAGAGGTAGGTAGTCATATAACATATTCATAGTTGTGGGATTCCTGGCATCCCCAGAATGATGGTGGAAGGTGTCGTCACCTCCTTCTGGGAAAGAGTGTGTCCTTCCCTCTGAGGACACAGTCTCTTCAAGACAAAAATTCTCTCAAAACACAAGAAAACGGTGCTCGGTGCTCCGCAGACCCAGGAAGGACCCTGCTGAGTCCAAACACTAAAGCTTTTCTTCTCAGTTTCTTTGATTACTTCAAGGATGCAGATGGCTGGTTTTCCAATAGTTGCTTGAGGTTGTTTTTCTTAACACGATAAAGGTATACTCGAAATGCCATCCTCCTGGATTGTACAAGACTGTTGGTTAATTCAGCGGCTGACTCCAGCAGCCGTTTATTTCATGTACACTATGTGGAACGTACTGGGAATACAGAAGCCAGTATGTTTCCAAGCCTTCTGGTGTGCCCCGACCTTTGGCCCGATCTTTGCTTCACGTAACATCCCATATGTTTAACATTAATGTTCCCCCTAATATTTCTTTTAAACCCCTGCAAGCCATCTGCAAAGGACCCAGGGCAGTGTCTCACTTTCTGGATGTAGTAGTCATGGCTCATTGGTTTCCACAGGGAGGTCACACCTGGCCAGCTGTATCGGTACCAAGTTCAAGCTGGAGCTGGAACGGAACTGGGAGAAGCCTCGCCTCCTCTGAGCCACATCCATGGAGCTCCTTACTGTGGAGACGGGAAGGTGGCAGGGTGAGTAGCACGTGTATGGGAATGTGTGAGCAAGGACGTCCTGCCCTGCCCTGAACAGGAGGTTTCATCCTGAGTTTTAGTTTGCCTTGTTTTGGAAATCTCAAGCACTGTGTGAGCCTAGCCTCAAAAACCTAGGACCTGGTGATGATCTTGAGAGAGCGCACGCATCTCAGATGAGGAGAGGCTCACTTTTATTTAGAGCTCACTGCAGAGTGCTGAGGTACTAGAGCTGATTCAGGGCGGGGGGTGGGGCAGCTCTTAAGGTTTCAGAGAACAAGTGCTGGGCAGTGACAGAGAGAAGGAATTTATAGGGAAGAAGGTTATGTGTCAGATACGATGTGAGGGTTATCTTTTGAATCAGTGGCCTGTCCTGTACCTCTGACTAGCTGTGTGACCTGGAAGTCCGTATAGCGTTCTGAGCTTCACTTGCTCATTTGACCCTTGGAAGACATGACTGTGGTGTAATTTACAACCATTCTGTAAAACCACCAAGGTAAAGACAAAATCACTACTTTGCCTTCTTTTTTTTTTTTAATTTTTTTTTAATGTTTTATTTATTTCTAGGAAAGAGAGAGAGAGACAGCGTGAGCAGAGGAGGGTCAGAGAGAGAGGGAGTCACAGACTGAAACAGGCTCCAGGCTCTGAGCTGGCAGTCAGCACAGAGCCCGACGCNAGAGAGAGAGACAGCGTGAGCAGGGGAGGGTCAGAGAGAGAGGGAGTCACAGACTGAAACAGGCTCCAGGCTCTGAGCTGGCAGTCAGCACAGAGCCCGACGCAGGGCTCGAACCCACGAACCGCGAGATCATGACCTAAGCGAAAGTCGGACGCTTAACCGACTAAGCCACCCAGGCGCCCCACTACTTTGCCTTCTTAACACACTGTGTTCCTTTTTCTGTTTCCCTTTTGTGACATCAGCCTAAGAGACTAATTCACTCTGGGTTGTCTGGGACTTTCCCAAATCTAGCACTGAAACTCCCATGTTCCACCAGTCACCCTGTATTAATCTGTCCTGAATGCTCCTCTAACCTAATATGTTCATTATATGGAACTGTGGCAATAAGAGGCCACTGGCCAGGCACTGTGATGTGTCTTAGATTCTGCATGCCAATAAGATAGCCTATTTTGAATTTCCCAGACTGGGTGAAAGTACATAGTATCCTGAAGCCCTAATTGTTCTGTAGCCTTTCTTGGGACCCCATTGCATTGGTTAACAATCACTGAACACCACTCATTTTCTCCATCTTCTAAAATCTTTATCCATTGGTCTAAGGCACACTTTGCCAATACCCAAACCTTGCTAGTTGGCTGCTACCTCTGCCTAACACAGTCTCAGCTTTGCATCTCCCTTCCTCCAGCTGCCTCTTTTGAAGTCTCTTGCCCACCAGTTAAGGTGTTCGAGGGGCTTGGTTACCATCACTACCCAGGCAGAACCTTCCTTGAACAAAACACTGCCCTCTGTGTCTCCCACCACACTTCTCTCATGGTGGCCACCTTGAGGCCCCAGGATGCCACATCTGCCTGGGAGTCTGGGGACAGGAAGGGCTGAAGAGCCATCTTCCCAACTTGTTCATGCATATTCTCTCTTGTGCCTTGAAACAGCTTCTCCTGAAGCACTATCTGCTTGGCTCCTGGGCCTCACAAGTTTCCTCATCCAAAATTCCTTTACCTTATATATTCCCTTTCTGTAAAGAGTCACAAATAGTTCCGCCATCCAGTGGTACGATATCTGTGAATTACATCTTTGTCTCAGCCAGAGAGAGGCAGGGCCTTCACTCCACGACCAGCAAGAAGGAGCCATGTATATTGTTTAACCCACCGTTTAAAACTTGAGGAATGTGTACATTCAATCTAAGGGGATCACAGTTCCCCAAGAAGTCATCCTGAGATGCTAGTTATAATATATTTTTGTCACACTGGATAACACCGCAGTAAGACCACCAAAGCAAACAGCATGGGGGCCCTGAACTTGTGAGCCACATTCATTTGGAAGCGATCATCTCAGTCTGTCCAGTATGGGACGTCCGTGCCACGTGTGCTGTGGAGGCTTTGAAATGTGGCAAGTGCAGCCAAGACACGGAATTTTATTTAATTTTAAGTAGTTTAAATTTAATTTGAAAAGTTGATTCCGTTCTCAGAAAACCTTTAAATATACTTGGAACAACTTGGTGAATCTACCTTTCCAACAATAGAGTTTATGAAATCTAAATACAGATCAAGTGTTTGGGCCCAGATGTGTTGTAAAGTGAAAAATGCACATCAGATTTCAAAGATGTAGGATACATTAAAGAATGTAACATGCTTTATTGATAATTTTTATAGCGATTACATACTGAAATGACAATATTTTGGATATATCGAGTTTGATGAAATGTATCATTAAAACTCATTTCACCTACTTCTTTTTTTAATGTGACTACTAGAAAATGAAAAATGATATATATGGTTCACATGTCTCTATTGGCCAGCAGTGCATGAGATGATACACAACACGCTGTGAAGAATTATGTTCCAAATAAGAAGGAAATTGAAGTTTCCTTAATTTCTTCAGTCATGTTATTTTTCATATCTGTTATCCTGTCTCCATTGACATCCTACCGTTTAACATATTATTATATAATTGCATTCATAGAATGGTTTTTATTCATATGAAAGCATTCTCATATCTAATTAGCTAATCTTTACTCCATCCCTGTGAGGAGGTACACTTTAAACAATGGTTAGAGCTGTTAGTTGGGTTCCTCATCTGAAAACATGTGAGCATGCCCAACTCTTTGTCTCCTTGAGTTATAATACGTGTCCCTTTTGGACATGGTGCAAAGTCAAGAAGGAAAAAATGGTAACCTTCCATCCATTTTACAGTGGCCACATCTGTGTTATCTGTTTTGTTTCTATAACATGCTGCCTGCAGCCCTCAGTCTAAACTAACTTTCCCACCCCAATCCACGTGAGTCACCAGCGGTGTCAGCTTTTCAGGTTCAAAACAAAACAATGCCATTTTTCTTCTCCCAGTATTTATTTCTCCCCTGCAATACATGATGGCTGCCACCAGGTGGTAGTAGGGAGCAAGCACCTGAGGGAGCCTTGGCTTTGTCCTGGACAGAGAGACCAGGCAGCAATCAGGCTTCTGAGTCTCTTGGTATATACAATAGGATATTTCAAGGTTACAAAATCCTAACTTTAACAGCAACTGCGCCTAGATAGAATAAAACAATGAAAACATAAAGAAATATCAGGTAGAAAAGAATAATAAACAGAACCACAAATAGACGGGAAGGTTTCCTCCTCACCAAACCAGCTGTTTTTGGGATTTCACTCATCATAGGGCTGGCAGGCCTTTTCTAGCTTCCTGCCATCTACCAGAAACCCCGGAAGGACCCTCGTGGGTCTCCTCAATGTTTCTGAGTCCTGGGCTGCTTTCTTCTGTAAGAGCATTCTCTTAGCTCCTGCTTTTCTCCAGCTTGCACTTTTAATGTGTAATGAGGGATTTTAACAATTTAAAATGAGAGTAATAAGCAAGAAAATGATTGTATGCCTGTGTGGATATAAGAATGTATGTTTTGACCTTCCAGGAGCCTGGGAGAAGAATGTGATGATGGGGACCTTCTGAGCGGAGATGGCTGCTCAAGGGCGTGCCAGCTGGAAGAAGGCTTCCACTGCGCAGGTGCGTGGGACAGCGCCACCTAGGCTCATGTCCTGTCTCTGCAGGCATCTCCGTGTCTTACTTCCATGAGCTTTTGATATCCTATGACATACAGCTGACTGATAACAACAATGATATTTGATGTGTCTCTTGTGTGCCAGGCAGGCACCAACTGTTTCACCTATAGTATCTCATTAAAATTTTTTAAAATGTTTATTTCTGAAAGAGAGAGAGACAGAGCATGAGCAGGGGAGGGGCAGAGAGAGGAGGAAACAGAATCCAGAGCAGGCTCTAGGCTCTGAGCTGTCAGCACAGAGCCTGCCGCAGGGCTCAAACCCACAAACCGTGAGATCATGACCTGAGCTGAAGTCACACGCTTAACTAACTTCGCCACCCAAGCACCCCACATATAGTATCTCATTTACTCCGGGCATGAACTATGAGGAAACTAATCTGAGGCACAGAGAGCTTAAATAACTTGCTTTCTCTTATACAGGATTTGAACAATGGAAGTGAGGCTCTAGAATCTAAATATAGGCCACCGGAGTTCACTGCCTCCTTGATTAATGTTACCAAGAATTGCTCTTGGGTCCTCATGTCTACCATCAAAACATCAACCAAGCAGCACAATCACAGAGCTTTTATACAAAAATCAGTTTAGGAAACATTCTAAGTTAAAGGGAGTACAAGGTATCTCTTGGTGGCTGTGTTTAATAGGTAAGATAATGACTGATAACAGGGGGTCTTAACACTGCTTAATCCTGGCGAATCATTAGTAATAAGTTATCACGAAGTGGCTTTGACTCTAGATTCTTGCCATGCAGGAAGACCATCTAGAACACTTCTCCCACTTCTGGTTAAAGATGTCATCAATGGCCTTCTTACATGTAGATTTTTTTTTAATTCCCATCTGTATACACTGCAGTGTTTCTGTGGAATGTAACCATTCACTAAAGTTTTTTTAGAGAGCAGAACTTTGAAAAATACTTTAACACCTCTAAATCTCAAGGTAAAGTAGGATATGATTATAATAATGTGAACTTAAAATGTTAAATACTGTACAGGACACATAAATGCTCCTGCTATCTAGAGTAGATTCATAAAATTATAGACTCTTAGGAGTCTTCCATCCATCCATCTAACAAAACATTGGCAGTGCCCACCATGTACCATGAGTCTGAGACCTGCTCCCTTCGTGTGTACAGTCTAACTGTGATTTGGAGTCCAGCTTCCTTCCCGTATAGAAATCTCTTCTGCCAGTTCTTAAGAGGCCTCTAGCTTCTGCTTATATACGTCTAGCAGTGAAGCACACATCTTGAAATGCACCTTTCTACTTAAGGATGGCTTTATCTGTTGTAAAATTCTTCTCTGCCTTTCCATTCGGAAACTAAGCCTCAGTGCATGATAGTGACTAATCCACAGGCGAACTGTGAGGCTCAGAAGAGCCAGCACTGGAGCCCAGCTTTGCTAATGCTTAATCAAGTGCTTTTTCCTTGCTATGAAACTACAGAGGATAATTTTTTCCCTGTTTTATTTGACTACCATTCAGATATTTGAAATGCCTCCCCATTATTCTCCTTTCCAATCCAAACATCCCCTCATGTGATTAGGTTTCCAGACCCTTTCCTATTTACCCCAACCTGGCATGTTTCATGTGGTCAATGCCCAGAAAGGAACTCAATACTCCAGATGTGGTCTGGCTGTACAGAATACACCGAACCGATTACCTCCTCTCTTCTGTATACAAGTATTTGTTAATGCTACCTCTGTTTGCAGTGTGTGTGTGTGTGTGTGTGTGTGTGTGTGTGTGTGTGTGTGGTAACATAATGGGCTCATTGAATGCACACACACACATTCAAGCACGCATATATTCTCTTAATGTCGTGTCTCCTCCAGTATATCTCAAGCCTCCTTTAACTTAACAGTACACCTTGCTTTGTTTCTAACACATTTGATTCCATAAAACGTGGCTCCTATTTCCTTAGCCTCCAAATCCAGCCAGACTAGGTCTAAATTAATTTAACTTTACAGGGTAGAGCTAAGATTATCTATCCCATGGTTAGACTTCTGTTTCACTGTATGATACGTGCGTAGTATGACTCAGCATCGAGTTATATTCCATTATTTCTCAAAAGATTAGGTATGAAGGGACCATTGTAAAATATAGTTTTTAAAAAATAGGTTGTTATTTTTCGATGGACTTGAAAAAAACAGAGGCAAACATTTTAAGTCCATGGTAAAAAAAAAATAGAAGAAGAAAGAAAAAATATTCACTGTTTATAAATAGAGAAAGAAGACATGTATATATACACATTATAAACTATATTATAAAGTATATTTATGTACACACATATAAAGATAAATGCAAACATACATATTAAATACACATATTTATGTACATAAATACATGATGTATAAATACGTATATATGCATATATACGACACAGAAAAATCATCATGGGAAAGTCATTCCAAATGCACATATATTGGCTTTGGGTTTGGGGGATGATTTGGGAAGGCCATGAGTTTGATGGAATGCAGGAGTTCAAATCCCCAAATAGGCTTAGAACCATGCCCTACAAACATTGGCTTATTCCTGGCAAGTAGAGACAGATTTACCACAGAAGGGTCTTAGACAGGAAGAAATTGTGACAGAAAATAATTAGCAGCTACATGTTGATGGGCCACTGAAAAATTACTTCAACATCCCTGTGGTCTTGCTGTGAAGAATTAAAAAAATAAGAATGGTATAGTAACAGTAAACTTCAGTAATGATGTTACTGAATGTGTATCTACATGTTGCTATGTTTCCAAATCTTGATCCTATCATCTTGTCCTATTATCTTAAATAGAAATAGAAGATTAGAATCATGCTACTAATGTTAATTGTCCTGCAGTTTGGTAGAAAATGGACTAGAACTCAGTAAGTGGCTTTCCACACTTGAAGAAAGCTAGTTTACATGTCTGTACTTGGTACTGTTCACTTAGGGGGAGATCCAACGAGCAAGTATGAAACTTGTCTAGGGAATATAAGCTCACCTCCTAACACTCCATTGGATTTTCTTACAGATTCGCTCCTCATTTGTTTGCTCTTGAAGGCAGTTCTTCTGCCTCAGCTTGATAGAGACCCCCTGCACCTGCCTTCTGTGAGCCTGGCTCCAATCCAAGCTCTACTACTTACATATCAAGGGACCTGTGGCAGAATGTTTCCTGTTTATGACACAAATAAAAAATGCACCCCCCCACATGGTTGTTGTAAGACTAAAAGAAAGAAGAGGAATGTAAGCCTTGAACACCCAGTGCCCATACTGTCCATTTCAGAGCAGTGACACAGTTAGTTGAAGAAACCCGATTCAGCCACAAAGAGTCATTGAAAACAAATCCCCAAAATACTTTAGTATTTCAAAAACCATGAAGGGGATCCAGGTACATAGCATATCATACCATTTCTTTAACTTCTCTTTCTTCTTTTACTTTCTGCTCTTACGTCCCCTCCTTCCCTCGTGATCTTGCTTAATGCCTTAAAATTTCTACCTCCAGCCTATGGATACTTTTCTCTCCTTAGACTTTATTCACAAATCCCACTACTTCCTATACCTTTTATTATGGAGATGGATTCTACTCCTCTCCCCATGAGAAAAAGTCCTTCTTCTTTAGGGAGGGGTGTGTGTGTGTGTGTGCGTGTGCGTGTGTGTGCTTGTGCATGCGCACATGCATGCACATGCATTCATTTTGTCTATATGTTTGGGGTGGGTGTTAGACTACCTGGCAACAACAGGATTTTCTTTTGTGGACTCAAGAAAAAATGTAGTGATTTCTCCATGACATCCCTAACAACACTTTTTGAAACATTATACAATATTTTTTTGGCAGGAGAGCCAAGCCTATGTTACATATATGAGGGAGACGGGATATGTGAGCCTTTTGAGAAGGAAACCAGCATCATAGACTGTGGCCTCTACACTCCCAAAGGATACCTGGATCAGTGGGCCACCCAAGCGTATTCCTCGCATGAAGACAAGAAATGTCCTGCTTCCTTGGTCACTGGAGAACCTCATTCCATGGTAAATCAAGCCCGAAGAATTGAGTGAAGGCTGAGAAGTTATAAAGGGCCTCTCAGATGCTTAGGAGGGCTTATGTTTCTTTCCTGTCCTTAACATCAAATGTAGTCCCTACTGAACTCCAAATAAGGTAACATTAAATGAAGAACTTCTAGACTAGCAATTAAATCTCGCCTCCCCCATCCCGCCACCACACCTGCCTTCCCCCACTTACCCTCACTAGTTTTCATCTAGGAACCTTTGGCCATTCAATCGCTGACTCCAAGGTATACAGAAGCTTTGCAAAATTAACCTCAGATGTACAAATATCAGAAATTACACTTGGGCTTTCTACATGGGAGAATTTATTTTACAAGAAGAAAAAGTAGTAAAGAGTCAGAATGCCTGGATTACAATATTGAATTCACTGATATTACTACCATTATTCTTAAATAAGTTTTGACAGGTCACTTAACCTCTCTGGGCCCCAATTTTCTCATATGTAAAATGGGTAATAGTAATAACTTTTGCACTTAGCTCAATGGCTTATTTTAAGGATCAAACGAAATTTAAAATATATTAAAGATCAAAGTATAACTTAAGGAATTATTATTGAAGGAATTCTAGAGCTAGTACTGAAAACAAATCCTTTGGTATACAATTTTCCATGAATATCCACCTAAATAAATAGGAGATCTGCCAAGGACTTCAAGGACTGACTTCTATGAATTAGAGTTGAATACTGAAAAGAAGATTAGGGCTTTGGATTTTGGGTACTATTCCAAATGCATCCATCGCCAACGAAACTCTTCCATTCATCATAACAATAAGCAATACCATTATTTCAATGGTAGTGAGATTTAGCTCTCTTTGGCCAGGATGCAATCATTGCATTTTATACCTCAGAAGACACCCCCCCGGAAAATTGAGAAACCAGCCAGGGGTTGTTGCTCTGGTTCAAGAAACTCCTCAAGGACCTAGGAATCTTCTAGATTCTAGCTCTTTCCATCCTTGGCTTGCATCTTTCTTCCTCCTATTCATAAGATGGCTCCGCCATTCATGAAGTCAGCATTTCAGGCAAGAAGATGGGGGAAGTTCACAGGAAATAGTTATATGCTAACCGATTCTTTCCCTTTTTATTGGGAAAAAGGTCATGGCTGCTTTTCTGGAAGTTTAACACTATAGACTTCCACCAACCTCTCATTGGTCACATCCAGGTCACTTCATCACCCTTCATTGTAAAGGTCTCTGAGGAGATGAGCACTTGTAAGATTTACTGCCACTTTACTTATTAAGAATCGGAGTTTCTTAATAAGTAAGGGGAAATTGATATGGGGAGGCAGCTAGCTGTGTCTGCCACACTTCTTCAGTGAAATCTGGCGTCTTTCTCAAGAGTTCTTGGTGTCCAGTGATAGGAAGCCAGGAAAGTTGGGAGATTCTGAGTTAGTAACAGCTCTCTGAAATGGCTTTTAGTCTAGCTTGTCTGCTGTAAGTAAAGTGAAAGAAATTTCCTGGTCTTTCTGTTCCCTGACTCCTTTACCTAGCGGAATACTCAGTGGTTCCCTGACTCAGTACCCTCACTCCTGGGACTGGTGGATCCTGCCCGGTAAGGATAGAACCCTCATCCTGGACAGACTTCTATGGCTAATTCTAGGAGAAGTTGCCTAAAATGTTCCAGGACTGTTCTTGGGGCAAGATATCTGGGTTGATGGTGGGCTGAGAGTTATCATATGTGTTTTTTCTACCCAGATAAATCCTATCTTGAGGTTAACAGAGCGCACTGAGACATCCTTCTACACAGAGAAAAGTTGCTAGTGTGATCATTAGGCACTCAGGAAGAGAGGAAGACTTTGGTTTTGAGCTACAGAGTTTCACTGTGTTTACTTTTCTCTCAGCTTCCACATTTAATTTTTGGTTGAAATTGCATTTCAGATGTGCACCTCATACCATCCAGATTTACCAGAGCATCGTCCTCTCACCGGATGGTTTCCCTGTGTCACCAATGGAAACAGACCTCTGGACAAAAGGAGTGAGCAGGCAGAAGGTAGCCTGGAGAGAGAGGAGGAGGTTTGGCTCAAAGTAAGTGACCCAAATGGGTTTTTTTGTGAAGGCTGTGGGTAGATTTTTGTGTGTGCGTGTGTGTGTGTGTGTGTGTGTGTGTGTGTGTGTGTGTAAAGTGATCTGTTGGGTTGGCTTGTCAGGAAATTTCCTCTTGTTTTTCTCAAAGTTTTTATATTTTGGGTTTATTTTTCACCACTTTTTGAATTTTGGGCTTCTTTCTTTGTAAGTCAGTCCATTTATCAAAGTGAAACAAACACACAGAAAAGTGCAAAAATCACAAATGCCCAGATCACTACGTTTTTAGAGTGAACATCCTCTCTAACCACCACACAGATCCAGACACAGAGCACTGACATCACCCCATAAACCTCTCTTATTCCCCCTCTCAGCGATTTTGCCACAGAGGTACCTGCTCCTTTTCATTCTATCACCATAGATTAGTTGTGCCTGTTTTTGAACTTTATGTGAAGAACTTTACCGTACGTACTCCTTGTGTCTTGTTCATTCTTACTCAACATTTCATTTGTGAGACTGCTGCTTCCTTTAGCAGTGGAGTTCATTCTCATTGCTGTGTAGCATTCCAGTGTATGAGCACACCACAACTTGTGGGTCCATATTGATGAACCTTTGGGTTATTTCCACTTGTTCTCTATGGTGTCACACATAGTTCTGCTATAAACAGTTCTGTACATTTCTTTTGGGGAACATATATAAACAGTTGGGTATATAGTAGATATTAGTAGATAATTCCAAAAAATCTTCCATAGTGGTTGTACTAATTTCTATTCCTGCCAGAGGCTTATGAGTATTCCAGATGCTTCACATTTTCATCAGTACTTGATATTTCAAGCATTAATTTTAGCCATTCTGTTGGGCACATAATGGCAGTATCCTTTCCATTGTGTCAGTTGCATTTACACATTGCCTAATGAATTTATTTGGTTGTCTTTTAAATATATATTGGCCATTTCTCTTCTCTTCTTTTCCCTTTTCTTTGTTCTCCTGGAGGGCGTATTCAAATCTTTTGCCCAGTTTTGCATTGGGTTGTCTGTCATTGTCTTCTTAATTTATGTGATTTCTTTACAATTTTCTGCTATGAATTAAAGCTGTCATAATTTCATACGCAACGAGTCCCTGAGAATACGCTATCTCCATTTAAAGAGCTTCTGGCTCTTTAAACTTAATATAATTGACAAATAGCTAAATATTTACCCTGTCCAGTGCTCCTCAGGCCTTTCTACCTTTCTATACTTTCCTCATTTTTATTTAGCTTGAGAAAAAAATCCCATTGTTTCTTTTTATGTGAGTGTGCTGGCAATGGATTCTTTCAGTTTTTGTGTGGCTGAAAATATCTTTATTTGACATTTATTTTCAAAGGGTATCTTTGCTCGGTATAGAATCTAAGTGGCCAGTTGTTTTTGTTCATCATCCTAAAGATGTTATTCCAGTGTCTTTTCACTTTCATGCTTTCTTTAGAGAGTTAGCTGTCCAACTGACATATACTACTTTGAAGGCAATGTCTTTTATACTCTGATGCTTTTAGTATAGTTTCTTTGTGTTTTGTCTTCAGCACTTTTAATATGATGTTCCAAGGCCTGTTTTTTCTTTGTATATATCAGGCTAAGGGTTTGTCAAGCTTTTTGAGTCTGTGACTTAATGTCTTACTTGCCCATTTACTCCCTCTTCTTTTTCTTGGACACAAGATATACATGCTTTAGATCTTTTTCCTGCATATCTTTTCTCCTTTTTCTTTTTTTCTACTTTTCTTCCCCTTTTTCTTCATGGTTCTTTATGGTCTGGTTATTTTATACTGATATATCTTCTGTTTTACTAATCACAACTTCGATTCCATTTAATAGGCTGTTAAACTGTTTATTAAATTATTAATTTCAGTTACTGTATTAATAATAATACATATACAGAAGGGCAATAATAATTAATAATTCTAGAATTATTTAACTTTTTCTATAGATTCTCATTTTGTTTGAAATTCTTTACCCTATAGTTTATTTTCAGGCAGAGAAGGACAAATATCATATGTTTGCACATATAGGAGGATAAGGAGGAACTTGACGGAGGAACAAGGGGGAGAAGAAGGGCGGAAATGGTGGGGGAAAGGGAGAGAGGCAAACCATGAGAGACTCTTGAATGCTGACAAAAACTGAGGACTGATGGATGTGGGGGGGAGGGGGGGATGGGCATAGAGGAGGACACTTATGGGGATGAGCACTGAGTGTTATGTGGAAACTAATTTGACAATAAACTGTTTGTAAAAAAAAAAAATAATAATTACAGCAAGGCATCTGGTGTAATCCAGGACCCTTTAGAGCAAAGAGATACATATAGTCCTTGTTTTTATAAGCAAAGTTACTATTAAAATTCTACTTCAAAAGCAAAAAAATATATATATATATTAATCACTATACTTGTAAAATCTGTGCCTGAGAATATGAATATCTTGGTGACTTGAGATCTGTTTACATTGACTGTTTCTTCTCTGTATTTTAGTTCATTTAGTCTCAACTACTTTCACACTGAATAATGTTTTAACTAAATATTATCGTAGAGATTGTGGCTAATGATATATTCTTTTCAAGATCTTTTATTTTTTTTTTTTAACATGTAATAAGATTTGGGAAAGAACATCTTAATCCAATCACCAATTAAGATGACTCAACTTCCTGGGGCCCCTGGGTGGCTTAGTCTGTTAAGTGTCCAACTTCGGCTCAGGTCATGATCTCACAGTTTGTGAGTTTGAGCCCCGTGTCGGGCTCTGTGCTGACAGCTCAGAGCCTGGAGCCTGTGCTGACAGCTCAGAGCCTGGAGCCTGCTTTGGATTCTGTGTCTCCCCCTCTGCCCTTCTCCTGCTTGCACTCTGTCTCTCTCTCTCTCTCAAAAGTAAATAAACATTAAAAATTCTAAAAAAATATATGACTCAAATTTCTGTATTAGTGAGCCCTGATATATTTCTTTTTTCCTAAGGCCTAGCTTTTTAGGGGTCTCAAATAAAAGCTTGGGTTAGGCCCCCCACCTTGATAGTCTCTGAAGTATAACTTCTATCTCCCTAGCAGTATGTGTCTGCTAAAAACTGCTTAGCTTTTGGCCTGTCACCCACCAATTCCTGCCTAGTTTCTTATCCTCATATTCTGCAGAGCTTAGAGTTAGAAAATACCTCAGTGGCAAAAGTGGCACAGAATGTGAGGTTCCTTTCAGTGTGGTTTCTTGCTTTTCAAGTCTCTTCAGTCCTGACTGCTGTGGTTGCTGTTACATGTTTTCAAACTTTTTTCTTTTTGGGGCATCGGTTGGGCGTCCAACTTCAGCTCAGGACATGATCTCGTGGTTTGTGGGTTCGAACCCCCATGTCGGGCTCTGTGCTGACAGCTCAGAGCCTGGCGCCTGCTTCAGATTCTGTGCCTCCCTCTCTCTCTGCCCCTCCCCTGCTCATTCTCTCTCTCTCAAAAATAAATAAACATTAAAATTTTTTAAAAATTCTTTTTACTTTATTTACATTTTATAATTATTCTTGACCAGGAGTGTTTGTTCTATTATAAGCTATTTCCTCACAGCTAGAAGCAGAAGTCTCCAAGTGGAATTCTTTTAATGTATGTCAGTTAACTACAGTATAGATTTTATATTTTAGGTGTGTACCCTGTTCTTAGTACAAGTGATGTAGGGGAAATAGTCCTTATATAAGAAAAAAAAACCACGAATATATTTGGAAGTTAATATATCAAACCTATTAATAAAATTTAGTTTTTACAAATCCACGTAATACCAAATAAATTAGGAAGTGATTTCTAAAAATAAGCTCATTGGAGATTTTCCCCCCAAGTTTTCTGAGGACTATAGGATTTCTGACTCTATTATTTTTTTAATTTACTTTGATTGATTTGATATACATATACGATTTGTATTTAGTGGATCAGAGACAAATTTATTGCACAGTGAGAAACAACTGTACTGAAAAACATTAGCTTTGAAAATAACTTTCCACAATCTTTCATTTACTAAAATGCTACTTGCCCAACAAATTTCTCAGTTTAGTACTCATTTACTGAGGTAACTTGTCTCTCTTAGTTTTCCTTGGTTTTATCTAATCTCAAACCAATACACCAAATGTAAGAAATTTCTTTTACATGACATAAAATGCAAATTTTTATCATTTATAATAATAAGCACATTTTAAAACCCACTATCATTTACAAAGTGCATTCTCACATGCTTTTTCATTTGATTCGCACAATAGTTATGAGTTCAGGGAAAGTAGTTGTTTTCCTATTTTATAGATGAGGAAAATAAGAATCAGTCTCAAAGTGCTTTTTTAAAATCACTCAAGAATAAAATGGAAAAACTGAAGATCAAACTCATGCCTCTTGACTCTGATCGCATGTTTATTCTTCTCTACTATGCTGCCTCATGCAGTCAGCATGCATTATGCACCTGTGATATGCCAAACCCAGAATTAAACACATGAGAATATGACATGAGCAAGAAAACAAATTAAAACATATGTGGAATTGGAAGGAAAGGCTTCTTGTCTTCTTTTGTTGTATTTCTTCTACATTCTTCAATGACAGTGTATCCATGGACCTAGTTCATAGGATTTATTAAGTGCATATTGTAACTCTAGGTGCCACTGGGGGTTAGAGAAAGAAACAGAGGGAATGATTCCTTCCAGAAAGTGCTTTGAGTCTCAACAATCAGACAACAAAGGAAGCAATTTGAAAAGGAGACATCCAATAAATATTTGTTATTTGGTTACATAGGGAGCCCATCAACATAGGCAAAATCATATGTTCATGTTTATTTTCGTGGCTGTTCTCAAATGCCCCTAATTTGGAATGGTCTCACTCAGGCTGGACTGGTTAGCAATCCTAACAGAAAGTAGTTAGGTATTTTAAATATAGTATGCTTATATAGTATTTTCAATATGCTATTTAAAACATCAGTTATAAATTATGGACCCTTGCTGGAAACCTTTGCTATGTGATGCCTTTGCTATGTAAAACCTAAACCAT